GTAACTACAGCAGTTTAAGTGACTGAATACATTAATCAATCACTCGGTTTGAAAGAAGAAATGTAAGGGTAAAATACTTAAAGTAGTCTCTTTCATTTCATGGAAGTATCTGTTTTTTAAGAGAATTGATTTATGTAATCGCGGAGGCCGAAGGCTGAAGTTTCGCCGATTTTGAAATTCACCGCCGAAATCCGCAACAAAACAAGGCAAATTGGAGGCATTTTACGAGCGCCCTATAGAATTGTTTCTCCCACGTAAGGCAAGGTCGCGGACAAAGTAACTGGCTTGGTAGAATTCGCTGGCAGAGAAACTGGCAGGAGGTTTAGACGTAAGGGTTCCAAGGGAACTTCTCCGGAATGGCGGACATCACTGAATGTAGCAGTCTTTTGGAGGTCTTTTCGAGGATGGACCATGGCAGTCTTTTGGAGGTCAGAAGGTAGATATTGACTCAAAACTTAGTGATATGAATTTCCATTTATAATATTAAATGAAAACCATCACTAATATGTGAACGTATCAGTTGAAAGAAATACTACACGTTTTGAATCAAAAAGTGTTTGACTTCGTAATCGCGTTTACTGAAGAGTGCAATAATCGTCTTATCTTCCTTCGTAATGAATAGGAACAAAAATTCTAGTCTGTTCAAAGAGCAGCCCGCCCATAAGAGTGATGTAATAGGTCTAAGAGTAGGTCTTTAGTAAAGGAGATAGGCTACACAGAGGCCTCCGTCAACTACGCACATAAATTGCACACAGACCTCATACACACCTCTAGCAATCAGGACAAGAGATTCTAGAATGATTCAAACACTGATGTGATACACGAAAGCTTCGAAATTCCCCAAGACAATTTAAAACAAGGTTGTCTTTTACAGGTTTAGGACCTTTCCTTACTCAAGCACATCTACCCAAGCCTCTGTTTCACGCGGCCGACTTCTTTACCATACATTTTTGTGTTAATTTACAAGTGTTACCGTTATCTAAACAAACAGTTAATAAAATATTAATGCCTTACTCGGGTTCCAATCCACATCCACAGTTTGGTACATGTGCCACGAAGATGGCGTAGCTGAAAGTACTACTTGTAAAAGTGTTACGGTTTTGTAAAATAATAATTTAATACAAATAATAGCATTATAAGTACATCTGACCTCTTCGATAAATGCGCGCCCTAAGCTAGTTTAATCCTTGCAAGGGCCTCTGACCTGGGTTTGTGTGGGGTTCTTAAAATTCTCTCCATTATTTTATTCTAATGTTTTCGTACATATGGTAAACATTGAAATTTGCTTTGTAAAGCAAACTAGTGGAGCTACAGAATGACACAGACTTTCCCGTATTAGCTTTCTATTTTGTTTGGTCTCGGTTAGCAATTCGAACTTAACACATATTTTGCCTGCTGCCATCTATTGTCGCCC